TTTTTTTTTGTTGAAAAATAAGTGCGTAATGCGTTTTTTTTTAATTCATATGACACTTTTTACAGCTTCAGCTTCAATTTTAATAAATTCAGGTCCAGAATCGTTTGTAGTTGATTGCAGTTTAAATTTTTTTTTAGTTGAAAAAAATGCGTAACGCGTTTTTTTTTTAAATTCATATGAAGCTTTTTACAGCTACAGCTTCAATTTTAATAAATTCAGGTCCAGAATCGTTTGTAGTTGATTGCAGTTTAAATTTTTTTTTAGTTGAAAAAAATGCGTAACGCGTTTTTTTTTTAAATTCATATGAAGCTTTTTACAGCTACAGCTTCAATTTTAATAAATTCAGGTCCAGAATCGTTTGTAGTTGATTGCAGTTTAAATTTTTTTTTAGTTGAAAAAAATGCGTAACGCGTTTTTTTTTTAAATTCATATGAAGCTTTTTACAGCTACAGCTTCAATTTTAATAAATTCAGGTCCAGAATCGTTTGTAGTTGATTGCAGTTTAAATTTTTTTTTAGTTGAAAAAAATGCGTAACGCGTTTTTTTTTTAAATTCATATGAAGCTTTTTACAGCTACAGCTTCAATTTTAATAAATTCAGGTCCAGAATCGTTTGTAGTTGATTGCAGTTTAAATTTTTTTTTAGTTGAAAAAAATGCGTAACGCGTTTTTTTTTTAAATTCATATGAAGCTTTTTACAGCTACAGCTTCAATTTTAATAAATTCAGGTCCAGAATCGTTTGTAGTTGATTGCAGTTTAAATTTTTTTTTAGTTGAAAAAAATGCGTAACGCGTTTTTTTTTTAAATTCATATGAAGCTTTTTACAGCTACAGCTTCAATTTTAATAAATTCAGGTCCAGAATCGTTTGTAGTTGATTGCAGTTTAAATTTTTTTTTAGTTGAAAAAAATGCGTAACGCGTTTTTTTTTTAAATTCATATGAAGCTTTTTACAGCTACAGCTTCAATTTTAATAAATTCAGGTCCAGAATCGTTTGTAGTTGATTGCAGTTTAAATTTTTTTTTAGTTGAAAAAAATGCGTAACGCGTTTTTTTTTTAAATTCATATGAAGCTTTTTACAGCTACAGCTTCAATTTTAATAAATTCAGGTCCAGAATCGTTTGTAGTTGATTGCAGTTTAAATTTTTTTTTAGTTGAAAAAAATGCGTAACGCGTTTTTTTTTTAAATTCATATGAAGCTTTTTACAGCTACAGCTTCAATTTTAATAAATTCAGGTCCAGAATCGTTTGTAGTTGATTGCAGTTTAAATTTTTTTTTAGTTGAAAAAAATGCGTAACGCGTTTTTTTTTTAAATTCATATGAAGCTTTTTACAGCTACAGCTTCAATTTTAATAAATTCAGGTCCAGAATCGTTTGTAGTTGATTGCAGTTTAAATTTTTTTTTAGTTGAAAAAAATGCGTAACGCGTTTTTTTTTTAAATTCATATGAAGCTTTTTACAGCTACAGCTTCAATTTTAATAAATTCAGGTCCAGAATCGTTTGTAGTTGATTGCAGTTTAAATTTTTTTTTAGTTGAAAAAAATGCGTAACGCGTTTTTTTTTTAAATTCATATGAAGCTTTTTACAGCTACAGCTTCAATTTTAATAAATTCAGGTCCAGAATCGTTTGTAGTTGATTGCAGTTTAAATTTTTTTTTAGTTGAAAAAAATGCGTAACGCGTTTTTTTTTTAAATTCATATGAAGCTTTTTACAGCTACAGCTTCAATTTTAATAAATTCAGGTCCAGAATCGTTTGTAGTTGATTGCAGTTTAAATTTTTTTTTAGTTGAAAAAAATGCGTAACGCGTTTTTTTTTTAAATTCATATGAAGCTTTTTACAGCTACAGCTTCAATTTTAATAAATTCAGGTCCAGAATCGTTTGTAGTTGATTGCAGTTTAAATTTTTTTTTAGTTGAAAAAAATGCGTAACGCGTTTTTTTTTTAAATTCATATGAAGCTTTTTACAGCTACAGCTTCAATTTTAATAAATTCAGGTCCAGAATCGTTTGTAGTTGATTGCAGTTTAAATTTTTTTTTAGTTGAAAAAAATGCGTAACGCGTTTTTTTTTTAAATTCATATGAAGCTTTTTACAGCTACAGCTTCAATTTTAATGAATTCTGGTCCAGAATCGTTTGTAGTTGATTGTAGCTTTAAACTTTATTTTTTTAGTTGAAAAATAAGTGCGTAATGCGTTTTTTAAAAAAATCATATAAAGCTTTTTACAGCTACAGCTTCAATTTTAATGAATTCTGGTCCAGAATCGTTTGTAGTTGATTGTAGCTTTAAACTTTATTTTTTTAGTTGAAAAATAAGTGCGTAATGCGTTTTTTAAAAAAATCATATAAAGCTTTTTACAGCTACAGCTTCAATTGTAATGAATTCAGGTCCAAAATCGATTGTAGTTGATTGTAGTTTGAAAATTAATTTTTTTAGTTGAAAAATAAGTGCGTAGTGCGTTTTTTTTAAGTTTATTTGAAGCTTTTTACAGCTACCGCCTAAATTTTAATGAGTTCAGGTCCAGCATCGTTTGTAGTTGATTGTAGTTTTAAATTTTTGTTTGTAGTTGAAAAATAAGTGCGTAATGCGTTTTTTAAAAAATTCATTAGAAGCTTTTTACAGCTACTGCTTAAATTTTAGCGAATTCAGGTTCAAAATCGTTTGTAGTTGATTGTAGTTAAAATTTTATTTTTTTGTTGAAAAATAAGTGCGTAATGCGTTTTTTAAAAAATTAATTTGAAGCTTTTTACAGCTCGGCTTCAATTTTAATGAATTCGGGTCCAGAATCGTTTGTAGTTGATTGTAGTTTTAAATTTTTTTTTTGTTGAAAAATAAGTGTGTAGCGCTTTTTTTTAGTTTATATGAAGCTTTTTACAGCTACCGCCTAAATTTTAATGAATTCTGGTCCAGAATCGTTTGTAGTTGATCGTAGTTTTAAATTTTTTTTTAGTTCAAAAAGAAGTGCGTAATGCGTTTTTAAAAAAATTCATATGAAGCTTTTTACAGCTACAGCTTCAATTTTAATGAATTCAGGTCCAGAATCGTTTGTAGTTGATTGTAGTTTAAACTGTTTTTTTTAGTTGAAAAAAAAAGTGCGTAATGCGTTTTTTTTTTAAATTCATATGAAGCTTTTTACAGCTACGGCTTCAATTTTAATGAACTCAGGTCCAGAATCGTTTGTAGTTGATTGTAGTTAAATTTTTTTTTTTAGTTGGAAAAAAAGTGCGTAATGCGTTTTTTTAAAAATTCATATGAAGTTTTTTACAGCTACAGCTTCCATTTTAATGATTTCAGGCCCAGAATCGTTTGTAGTTGATTATAGTTTTAAATTTTTTTTTTGGTTGAAAAATAAGTGCGAAATGCGTTTTTTTTTTATTTATATGAAACTTTTTACAGCTACAGCTTCAATTTTAACGAATTCAGGTCCAGAATCGTTTGTAGTTGATTGTATTTAAATTTTTTTTTTTAGTTGGAAAAAAGTGCGTAATGCATTTCTTTAAAATTCATTTGAAGCTTTTTACAGCTACAGCTTCAATTTTAACGAATTCAGGTCCAGAATCGTTTGTAGTTTATTGTAGTTAAACCTGTTTTTTTTAGTTGAAAAAAAAGTGCGTAATGCATTTCTTTAAAATTCATATGAAGCTTTTTACAGCTACAGCTTCAATTTTAACGAATTCAGGTCCAGAATCGTTTGTAGTTTATTGTAGTTAAACCTGTTTTTTTTAGTTGAAAAATAAGTGCGTAATGCGTTTTTTTTAATGTCATATGAAGCTTTTTACAGCTACAGCTTCAATTTTAACGAATTCAGGTCCAGAATCGTTTGTAGTTTATTGTAGTTAAACCTGTTTTTTTTAGTTGAAAAATAAGTGCGTAATGCGTTTTTTTTAATGTCATATGAAGCTTTTTACAGCTACAGCTTCAATTTTAACGAATTCAGGTCCAGAATCGTTTGTAGTTTATTGTAGTTAAACCTGTTTTTTTTAGTTGAAAAATAAGTGCGTAATGCGTTTTTTTTAATGTCATATGAAGCTTTTTACAGCTACAGCTTCAATTTTAACGAATTCAGGTCCAGAATCGTTTGTAGTTTATTGTAGTTAAACCTGTTTTTTTTAGTTGAAAAATAAGTGCGTAATGCGTTTTTTTTAATGTCATATGAAGCTTTTTACAGCTACAGCTTCAATTTTAACGAATTCAGGTCCAGAATCGTTTGTAGTTTATTGTAGTTAAACCTGTTTTTTTTAGTTGAAAAATAAGTGCGTAATGCGTTTTTTTTAATGTCATATGAAGCTTTTTACAGCTACAGCTTCAATTTTAACGAATTCAGGT